TGTTAAAATCTGTTTTACACTAAAGATCTGTTATATTGTATATTAAAATTTGTTATAAGAAGAGTTGACTGTAATAACATTAAATTAAAAAAAAAATTTATTATAACTCTATAAATAAAAAAAAATAAAAAAAAAAAGATTATAATACAAATAAATAAAATATTAGACTAATCAACAAAATATTTAATAATAAACTTGTTTAATATTTTCCAATTTTATTAAAAAACTAAACCCAAACTTATCTTATACTATAAGATAAATTTACAATTTCCTAATAATATTTATCTAATATTCTTTGTAAATACCAAAAATAAAATCAATTAAGTAAAATAATTAGTATCAAAAATATAAAAAATAATTCATCTAAAATCATTATAATAATTATCATAATAATCAAAAAATATATAATTAATTTTTTTTTTAAATAACAAAAACATACAATTATTATTAATTAAAAGATAATTAACAGATTTTAGTTATTAATTCAAATAAAATTTTTCAAAATATGCTAATAGTATTTATAAACTAAAATATATATTTAATTAATGAAATTAATAATATTTACCATACTTTAATCAATATTTTCAGTATAATTCAAATTATTATTGCTATAGAATTAAAATAAAACTTTATTTTCTTTTTATTAAGTAAATTATTTATTAATAATCCATTGATTTATAGTATTATAAAAACTAAAATTCTCATCATCTATTAGCTTTTTTTTAAAAATTCCAAAGATTTTTCCATATTGCTTTTATCTTTACCTTTTCTTCATTATTAAAATCACCATGAATTTGAAATACTATATCATTTATTACAAAATTATTTTTTATTATATAATCTTTTTTTTTTTTTTTAACCACAATGCATTTAAAAGTTTATTAAATACTATGTTAAAGCTAAATTAATTACATAAATAAAATAAAAAAACCCTAAATTAAAAATCTAACATCATTAATAATTAAATTATTTATTATGTATTGAATAAAGTTCTGAACAATTCAGTTCAATTCCATTTTTCAGTTCTTTTCTGATTAATCAGAATCTGTTTTGTATAATAACTCGCCATTTAGTAGTTATAGAAATCTAATTCAATAGTTTATTAGAATCATTTCATTCAGTTAAGATGGTTCAAATGGTACCAAAATCATCTTTTTAGCATCAATAGATAGCAAATTATTTTTTAAAAAATTGGTAAAATTAACTTACCATCTATTGACACTAGAAAGATAATTTTGGTACTATTCAAATCGTCTCGATGAGATGATTTCAATGAACTATTGATCAGCAGCTTTCTACAATTACTGGATACTGATCAATTAGAAAAAAACTGAAAAATAAAATCGAACTGAACTGTTCAGAACTTTAGCATAGAAGCATCCTATATATGTATTATTAGATGGCAATTTTGCTCAAAGGGTAGAATTCATTTAAAATGTCCTGTTCTTAATATATAATATTCTCTTTCTTCACAAGGTTATCACAGCTCACTACATCATATTCAAAAAAGAAAAAAAGAATTAAATTCCTGTAAAGCAATTATGACAAATACTTCTCAAATCACCCCTTTCATAAATATCTAAAAAGAATAGAAACCAGGCAACTTTCTCTAATCAAATTGTAGGATTTGAATGATACACAATAAAATTAAGACTAATTAATCACAGAAAAAAAAAATTTTATATATACAAATAATCTTTAATAATATAATCATGAAAAGCTTCATTTACAATAAGAGAACTGTATATTATAATATATCTTGTTATTTACCATCAGATATTCAGACACATAAAAATAATTACAAAACACTAGTAACCTTTTTAAAATATAAACAATTTTTAAATCCTTTATATATATAAGTTCTATTCAAAAAAGTAATGAAAAGAAATTTAATAAATATACTAAAATAAAACAGATAACAAATGAAATATAAAAAAATAGAAATAAGTTCCATAAAAGTAATCTTTATCTCTATCCTTCTTCTTTTGAAATGTATAAGAACAATCAAAAATGAAGCCTAAAGTCTTTATCAAAGGTTATTTAAAGAGAAATCAATATCAATTATTTTTACAATAATGAATAAAAGTTGAGTTAAATATTACATCAAAAATGCCATTAAATTTTCAAAAATAGTTGTCTGTTTCGTAATTATATTCAAAATGGAAGTTATCTTTTAAATTTAGAATGATTTGTTATTAGGCTAGTAAATTGTGAAAAGTATTTAAAAATATGTCTAGTTTAAAACGTGATGCAATTCAAAAGTTATTAAAAGGTTTCCTAATTGGAAGTCTTGTGATTTGACAAATAGAAAAAGCTGGCAATAAAAAGTAAATAATAGGTAAAGAAAAAAGTAAAGAAGAGTTGTGTTCAAAGCATTCTATAGTTCTAGTAGATTAGTAAAAGTCTTTCAAAAATAATCTTTGTATAAGTACTTAAATTGTTATAGAACTATCATATATTTTTTAATAACTTTATTTAAAATATTAAAAATTATTGGTTCATTAGTATAAAGGTTATTTTATTGTAAATATATAATGAAATAACAAAGTTTTTGATAATAAGACTTTTATTGTAAACTCTTTTTATAGTTAAAGTTATAGCTTAATAATTTTAAAGTCCAGTATTAATCTTTATATTATTACCGCTTATATTAGGTTCTCTTTTATACATTCTGTCTTTTAGTTCTCGTTTTAATGTACTTTCAGTCCAATTTTTTGTCATCCTACCTCCACATTGAGAATTTTTGCTCAAACTCAAAAAATAAAAAATTACTAATACTAATAAAAAGAAAGGGTATTATAAGACAAAAAAGGTTATAAAAAATATTTTAATCTTATACAATCTTCTTAAACTATTATAAAAGATTTATTGCAAATACTTATCTTTGAACTAATAAATAGGAATAAGTTTAATACAACATAACTTATTTAAAACATTAAAATTATTAAGAACTACTATTATAATCACAAATATTCCTGCAAAAAGAAAACCTATCTAAAAGAAGTATTGGCAATATAAGCCTATTGTTATAAAATACATGTACAAATGCATGTATATTCTATTATTTAATAGAACAATATAGTTGAATTTTTCTTAAAGAACTTATACTTGGATTATCAAAAAAAAAAATCCCTTTCTGCTAAACCTAGTTTTCCAGAAGTATCAAAGAAAAAAAAGTATTGGTTATTTATTAGAGAAATATCAAAGGAAGGAATGATTTAGTTGTTTATTAGAATTAAAGAATGAAAGAAGTCAAACTGAAGTAAAAAAGAAAAGAAAAATGATCTAGATGATAAACTATTAAAACATTTTTTCTTTTAAATAATATTTTTTTTAAACAAAAAAATAAAAATTGCTATAAACTGGTTTAATTTTTATTTAAGTATTAAAATATAATAAAACATCAAAAGCAAAAGTTCATTAAAGTAAAAAGTTATATTCTTTACAAAGTAATGTAAGTTTTTTCTTTATACTATATAAGCAATCAATTATTTATTGTCCAAAAATAAATTACAAAAGATAAAAGAAAAAAAAAAGATGAAAAAATAAAATTTCTTAAAAATATATATGGAAAACTTATCTTATTGTCACAGGAGTAAGTTTTAACTTTCTGAAATATTTAATAAATAAGATGTATTATAAAAAAATGAAATAAAAATTTTTATTGTTTGAATCTAGTCAAAAATATAACTGAGAAAGTTTTTAATAATCTGGTCTACTATAGCTTCTTCAATTCTATTTTCAAGCTTTAAATAATTTTCTCTCACTAATAAATTTTATATCTAGATAATAATTAGGTCGCTTTAATACATAATGATTACTCTACGAGATCCAGAAATTTTACCCTATTACTGTAAAATCGGAAAGTATCATAATGTAAAATAAATTCATCACGCGTCATACAAATGAGTTTCATAAAAGCATTATACAGTATTTAACATTAAACACATTGTTAATATTATAAAGACTTCAAAAATTACAGAATTACGGCAATCTGTAAAAGGAATTTGACGAACTCAATTTCTCGATTTTTTTTAGACTAGAAGTTAGTGGCACAGCAAAATGGTTCAATGTGATTCTACCAAATTTTCCATTTTTTTTTTGAATCGATTATATCTGTTCTATTGCCTGTTAAACATACTTTCATACGAGTCCTAATTCTATTGTTTTGAATTTAATTTATTGGTTGCACTATAATGGACAGATTTGTTAGCAAAATGCATTGGTACAATGTAAATGTTCGCATATAAAGAATCTTGGCACTGTAAATCAAATCCAAATAAGAAAATAATTGGACTATAGAAGAAATAATTCTTCCATTTAAAAATAAAGTGTATTACACCATTTTGGACGATTTGTTACCGGTTCAAACTTTTCCTCGTTCGTTCATAATGATTGGATGGCCAGTTGTACTTATATTCAAAAAACCAATAATCAAACCATCATCTGGCTCTTTAATATAAAGTTAAGTACAAACAAATAAAAAAAATATTAAATGCAGTGCATCTATCATTCATAAATCACAAATGTTTGTTACGATTTAGGATGTTACATAGATGAATCGGTTAGATCCAAAATTAGTATTTATCTAAATTGGTGTTATCAAATTGTAACACGTTAACGAAAAGAAATAACAAACATTCTTCCTTATATATATATGTGTTTTTTTTTATAAATTAAATTAATTCTCATTCCCTTTAAAATCATCTTTTAAATATGACCTTTTCATCATTCATTCAATTTCATCAACAAAAATGAAAGGCATATATATAATATCATTGATATTTTTATCCTTACAAACAATATCCTTCGTTTATCCCACACCAATCCAACAATCTTATCCTTCTCCCTCCTCTAACAACTCGACAACATATAATTTACTTGAAAAAAGACATAAATTATTCAAAATTGGATTGATTCCGAAAGAGATTAAATATTCCACTGATGAATTAAGTCAATTAACATCACTTAGACATCAACGTAGAATAAAAAAACTTTTAAAATATGAAAATGAAATTAAAAAAAAAAGACGCTGTAGAAATAAGAAAAAGAAGAGAAAAAAGAAAAAATGTTCTAAAAAGAAGAATATAAAGAGAGCAACTTCTAAAATTACCACTATTGACATGGGAAAAGTTGAAAATCCAAGTCCGCAGTCAATTGGAGTTATTGATTTCTTAAATGATATCGAAGTAAGTATTTAATAATAAGTATTTATTCTATTCTATTTTATTTTTTTTTATTTTCTTAACTCAAATTATTAAATTGTTAGTGGATTGGACAAATATCGATTGGAACTCCGCCTCAATCATTTCTGATAAACTTAGATACAGGATCGGCAGATTTATGGATACCATCAATAGATTGTAGTAAACAATGTGCGAATGATAGAAAATTTGTTCCATCTAAAAGTAAAACATTTAAATCCGTTGGAACAAAATTTGACATCGCATATGGTGATAATACAAGAGCCAAAGGCTTTGTAAATGAAGATATACTTCAAATTGGGAATATGATTATAAAAAATCAAAGATTTGCTACTATAAACGAACAAAGTGCAACTTTAGCCGCTGATGTTATTGACGGAATACTTGGCCTAGGTTATGATGGTTTATCAACAGTTCCGGGAAGTACAACACCATTTACGAATATGGTAAACCAAAAATTGATACCAAAAAAAATATTTTCGGTACTATTAAGACCAGCTCGTTTAGGTTCATCCCTCTTTGGTGGCGAGTATTTATTTGGTGGAATTGATCCGTCATTATTTACAGGAGCAATTACTTATACGCCTGTGACCAAAAAACTATTTTGGCAAATTTCAATTGATTCAGTAGAATTAAATAATAGTGTATTAGCAAGCAAAAACGACGTTATAGTTGATACTGGATCTACATTAATGGTGCTGGGTACTAAAGTCGTAAAGAGCATTCATGATAAATTAAAAGGAAAACTTGATTCTAAAACAAAGACTTGGCAAGTTCCTTGTAATTTATCTAAAAGTAACAAATTATCCATTAGAGTTAATAAAGTTCCCTTCTTTGTTGATACTGCAGACTTGATAAGAGAACGTGTTAACCCCAAGTCAAATGACTGGTGTTATTCTGGAATAGCCTCAACTGATGAGAATGTAAATATAAAAATAATCACTAAAAAAATTATTTTTTACTTATTACTAAATTAAATCTTTGATTTTATAGGTATGGATACTTGGTGGCGTCTTTCTAAAAAACGTTTATGTAAGTTGTTTTTAAAATTATTTAATCAATAATTAGCATATTAATAATAATATTTATATTTTTTATTTAGGCCGTGTTTGATCAAGAACAAAACCGTGTAGGATTTGCAATTCCAAGATATCCTAATTTTTTTTTTGTGTAATAATATGATAGCAGTTTTTAATTCCATAATAATTTTTAATATTTTGTACAACCATCCACAGTTCAGCCATTAGGAATGATGCGAAACAATATATTGTACAATTTTGCAATTTTAGCAAATATTAATGTAATTTCAAATAATATAATATTTATAATAATTAATTTTTTTTTTAATGTATATATGATTTTATTTTACTATGAATTTGTATAATTTTATTACTGTCATTATTAGTCAAAATAAGTATATTAAAAAGCTTTATGGCATAGAATCATAATATAAATCAATTTCATAGCTGCATTATAAAAATTATTGATATTATAGTAATTTCTATAAATAATTATGATTACAGTTATAACTTGATATAATGATTTAGGATAACCTGATTTTGGCTCATAATGAACTTTTTACTTAAATCAAAACCATCTATAATTAATTTTATCATTATATACTAACTTTATTATAAATTTCATAATATTATATATAATGAAATTAATCATAAACCAGTCATACTTATTTATTCACAAACTGATACAATTCTAATTCCAGAATTAACTTAATCTCAGTCAGTACTATTTAACATAGCAGACCCACCTGATATTTTTAAATCTTAATTTCAGTACATTTATTTACAAGTTTCTGTTGCATTGAACTATTAATATTAATGTAATAAAATATGGCATTTATATTCTTCTTATATATACTTATTTATTGATTTGGTATTAATAAAAGTAGATTTATTCTTTGTGAAAAGTTTTATACTTTTACTAATTGTGATTAGTACAATGTGATATCAAAAATTACTATATCTAGTGAATTAAAATTATCATTTAATAGATTAGCAATTTTCTAATTTAGTATGAAACTTATATCAGCTGTATTTTCTATTACTAATTCCTTTTATGAGTTTTATTTTTTTTATTAGTTTTAAAATACAGTTAACTCCCTCTATAGTCACTCCCGTTATAGTCACATTCTACTATATAGTCACACTAGTTGAATGTTCAAAACACTTTATTATTAAAATCTATCCTATATAGTCACAATCTATCTATAGTCACTATCACATCTATCCTCAAAAATCTTATATTAAAAAGAACTGTTTATAATCACAGTTATATAAAGAATATATTAAATAACTTGGCATCTAATAATCGTACAAAGATGTATCATAGCTTGTTAGAATC